TATTTATTATAACCTGGGTAGGATGGTACTGGGTCCGGGATCCTCAGGTCCGGGGACAAACACGAAGCGACTACTGCAGATTTAAAACATTAATGTCAAACCAAACTGAAGACTTAATGCTGTTTGTTCATGTCGATCTAACATTTTTCTGACACTTTACCTGTTGTGAATGCTGGGGTATTCACTGATTGCATCAGCAAGAACCTTTAACGACTCTGGGGAAAAGGAAAAAATAATTGTAAATAAATCACAGCCAGTCTGCAGAGTGTCTGCTTGGCCCGCAGGTTAACGCTTTTAACTACCTCAAACAAAAGTCATTGTTTTACCTTTAAGTGATTTGATTTGTGTTTTTCCATATGGGGCAGAGGAGAAGTTTCCACAGAAAATAAAGCAGGTGGGAGGCATGGCTGCATATCCTGTAACAAACACCAGAGGCTTATTACAGACCAATAATATTTTAAACCAGGTGATACCAATGCTGAATGCTGATTGGCCGAAGCCATGCCATTCAAATCTTCATGCCACAGGTATGACACCACATTTCTTTTTACGGTTCTAATTGCGTCTGTAACCGGTTTATAATAACATTAAGGCATCTCAAGGATTGTGAGGAATTGCAAATAAACCGTGACTCGGCTCTGAGTCCAGGATGTGATGCTCTGTGTCTAAAAACATCTCTAATCTGTGGTAAATTGGCCGTAAACCACACCTGCCTTCACCTTATTTCATAAGCAGAGCTAGATATTAAGTAGACTGATAATAAGGACATTAACAACTCTGCAGTTAACTTCTACAGTTGTCACAACGCAGATAAGTGGTAAACACTTACAAACATGAGCTCCGATTCTCTGAGAGAGAAGATATAGGTCCTACAAACCTGAGAACATGAGGTGGATCTTCTCTAGCACCTCCACACTGTCCAGCCACACATCAGAGACCACCACAAACATGGCATCTTCGTTCTCCTCCTCCAGCTGTTTCAGCTTGGCTGAGGCCTTCACAGATGTGGTGGATGGACCACCAAAGAAGTTCAGGTTACCATAGTAGGACCTGAATGCCAGAATCCATGGTCATCCACAAATGTAAATGTTCTTACAGTCATTTATATAAAGTCAAATTATATATATCCACCCTGGTCTCAACACAAGCTTTTGTTTTACTCCCAGTTTATCCACCCTGTTCTCAACACAAGCTCTCTAGTTAACAACATTTTGCACCAGCTGACCTCGTGGTGGACGACGGCTCTGTTGGTGGAAACCCAAATGCGTTCACATGGAAAACTGAGTCTTCATACCAGCCTTTGGAGAAATAGAGGAAAGTGATTTTAAGTCATCTGTGGAAAAAACTAAACATGAATTAGGATCCATTTTGGTCACTGCATGTGTCTAACAGCCCAAAGTATCTGTTAAACTCAAAATTAAAAATTAAAATAAAAACGTAAACCTGGATGATGTGGACTTAACATTGTCACTTGTCAACCTCACAGAGAAAGAACTGGATATCACGATTGTTTAAACACAGTGTTAATATAAAGATATCACAGAGAATAAAACACTGTGTTAGTGTTTACACATTAATATAAAGATATCACAGAGAATAAAACACTGTGTTTGTGTTTACACATTAATATAAAGATATCACAGAGGATAAAACACTGTGTTTGTGTTTACAAATTAATATAAAGATATCACAGAGGATAAAACACTGTGTTTGTGTTTACACATTAATATAAAGACACACAGATAATAAAACACTGTGTTGAAAACTGTGTCCATTCATGTATATTCTGATTATTTACCTTCTGCCAGAACAAAACAGGATTCTGTGTAAAGTCCACTGTGGAACTGGTGAGGACAAAGTTATGGAAAAACACATGCTGCAAAATACATTTAACAACGACTATATTCCCGACTTCAAATGTTCATGTTGTCAATGTAACAGAAATGGTTTCTTCCACCCCTACAAACACACTGAAAGGATATTGCCTTTGAGAGGTTCAGCTGGACTGTACCACTGGGATCTTCCAAAAAGAACTTGCCCTGAAAAAAGAGGGTATATTGGGGGATATACACCTTGTGTCACATATCCAAATATAATATTGGAAATTCTGAATCAACCCGCTTACCTCTTTCAGTTGAGTGATCATCCCCAAAACAATGACCTCTCCCAGCTTAGCGGTACTGCCCAGAAGTGCATCGACTGTCTTCAGCTTGAATAGGAACCAGAACAGGACAATAAATTACCTCCATGCACACCTGAAGTCAGAATGACCTCCATGCACACCTGAAGTCAGAATGACCTCCATGTGGCCATAGAAGTGTTTAAACATACAATTAAGAGTTATTACCTGGAATTTGTTTCTGCTTTCCTCCGCAGCTGCTCCAATTACAGGTGGGGTGAAGAGCTCATGTCGATGTGTACGCTGTGGAAACATGGCACACATGAAGGAGCTGGTCAATGTGCACCAGGGGACATGTATGTACGTATGTATGTGTGTATGTATGTATGTGTGTATGTATTTATGTATGCATGTTCATATGTACGCATGTATGTTCATCAAGCAAGCAGATTGGGGAGAAATTGTTTCGACAACAACATTACAGAGAGGATCATAGAAAAATAAAAATGTGTAAAATAGAAATATAAGACTAGCATACAGGACACAGTTTTTGCCATGCGGAAACAGAGCCTACTGACCTGCTGTAGAAGTGTGTATCGTTCTCTGAAGAGCTCGGCCTTGTCTCTAGCTGAGCCACAGAGACTTGGAGCAGAGTGGGTGGTCATGTGAAGCCTAAAGAAAGAACAAACACTTAAATGACACAAACGTTAGGATTACATGAGCACACTAATCAGAAAGGCAGGATTAAACACTTAGACTTACGGGACAAACTTTTTCCTCTCTGTACTGTAGATATATCGTGGCACGTCAAAAGCCCCAATGATGTTGAAGACATTATCTCTAAATAACAATCAAGTCGTTAGAGTTAATAAGGAGACAAAGCAAACATGATGGGAGGAAATGGGAAGGCACGCGAGGACAGGGGAGGACACAGGAGGACATGGGATGACAGGGGAGGACATGGAAGGGCAGGGGAGGACATGGGAGGGCATGGGATGACAGGGGAGGGCATGGAAGGACACAGGAGGACATGGGAGGGCACGCGAGGACAGGGGAGGGCACGGGAGATTGTGACACTGCCAACTTACATGGTCTCATCACATGTCTGGCTGCAGTCCTGCACAGCTCTCTCTGCCACAGCCAACTCAATCACACTATTGGACACTGTATACAAAAGTTTGTTGTTTACAACATTTCCTGTGCAGATGGAACCCAAAGCAGAAGCACCATCGACAACCAAATGAGCCACATTGGAACTAAACAACAACAGCAAAACATGATGCCCTGTTATGTTTTCTAAAAACTCTTACGTGGCTGCTTCTCCACAGCGTCCAAGATCCGCTCGATGACGTCATCCAGTTCCAGGTCATTGACAGACTCCAACACCTCCACAAGGTACCTGCTGGCTTCACTGGAGGACGAAGACACGTCATCAAGCATTAACACATGATCTATAGATATGTCAATACACACAGTAATTCCCAGAATTCATAGACATGCAGAATTGTACTTCCTTTCTTTGAAATGTATTTAATATTTTATTCAGAGCAAATCATGCAACTGTGACGCTGAAAATATTCCGATTCTGTTACTTATTTACTCAAAATGTACATCAAAAGAAATCCCTAGTCAGACTCATGTTCCTTACTGTCCTCAGCAGCTATCCGACATTTACACCACAGACTAACAGTAATTACTCACTAGGAATAGACGATTTAAATGGATATTTTTTTCCTTAATATCTCGGTTGCGATTGAAGTAACGACAATAGATAGTTTTACATTCCAATAACACAATCAGTAACACATCATAACATACGGTCGCAGAATAAGACCCCGCATCTTGAAGCCTGAGGATACTTTGGTCTTCACTTTGCGCACCTCCATGTTAAAAATAATAACAACAAATGTAAGGAATCTACATTTGGCGCTAAATTCTTACTTCCGTCTACATGTTTCGTCACGTCCTCCAGGGCGGTGGCGATTGGCTGGTTCCAGTCAGCTGATGTTTTCAAAACACATTCAGGAGTCTCATAGAGACGCATGCGCAGACAGGCGTCAGTACATTAACTATCTGTACTGATTTGTACTTGTGTACATGGTATATCAGTGTTGTCATGTGTTTATTATTCATACATGCATTTGACAATGTAACAGATGTGATTATTTAATAAAGAATACAGACATTGAACAACTATTTAGTAGGTCAGGTTGAATAATCGTTTAGAGGTGTCAGTCAACTGACCTCCTGCCCTGAAGCTTATCAGGGCGAGACCTATAACTTCCTGTAGCAGTTGGTAAAACACATCATCTGGATCTTGAGAGGACGGCGGATCCTGGTCCTACACTTACCATAGTAGGTTGGGTTGAGAGTGGCTCCATGGCAAAGATATGCCATACTAATATACAGAATATCTGTTTTATAGCAGAGGCACTGGAATTATTGGAATAATAATGTCATGTCTACATATTTGTTTATATCCATTACACCAGATCAGCACTGTTCACAGCTTGTAGCCAGCGAGCGAAGTGGTCACACTGCACTGGTTAAGGGAAATGTCATGTATATATGGGGAGGATACGTGGTAAGCAGAAAGTGTCAATCTGAAACCCTACCAGCCTGCAAATACGCTGTCTAGCCGATGGATTATTTAATAAATATTCTGCATGTTTATTTAACCAATATTAACTTTTTTCATTGTTGATTAATGTACATTCATTGATGAATGTCAGTAGGACAATAAAACATACTTTTTTCCGCAGTCAGTTGCTGATGATGAAGTATTCCTACCCAATGACGAAATATGGTTATTCGACTTTGAAAGTGGTGCTTGGTAAGAGTATGAATGGATTTATAATAGTGTATTACACATGCATAATAAGGAGATGGTAGCTCAGTGGTAGAGTGCATGCGTGCTATTTGCACTCTTGTGTTGTGTGTATTGTGAAACTGTATGTTGTCCTGCACATTTTTCGCCTTATCCTGGCCTGGTTGGCGTTGCAAATGAGAATTTGTTCCCAATTGGCCTACCTGGTTAAATAAAGGTTAAATAAGATAAAAATAAATGCTTTGTATGTATGATGTCCTGGGTTCAATCCTCAGCTTCTCCCTAGGTCATCGTTGCAAATTACAATTTGTTCTCAATCGGCAACTTTCTGTTTCATTTTTTTATTTATTAGCATTTTTTTATCTCAAGGGAAATGTGCAAGATGTTCGGAGAAGTCCCGCCACCAATGTCAGGCACCTGTGGTTGCTTGATGAAAGAGGACATGTACATATTTGGGGGATGTGATGACAGTGGCCAAACCAATCAGGTAAACTGGCTCAGCAGTTATTAAGGCATTCATTCATACACTGTCTCAGAATAGGAGTACGACCAGGATCACCAGATCACACTGAGCTTAAACCCGTACCAGCGCTTCTAGGAAGAATGTGGACCCTGGTAAACCAGGAAATAGGCACCAGGGTGCCAAAACCGTTTGTCGGCAGTTTGTAAAGGTGTACATTGTTCAGCATGCTGAAGTAAGCTGTGTGCGCAGCTTTACTGTGTCAACCTTCTGGATGGAAAATTCACCTGGAGGAAAGTGAACCATAAGGATGGGTCCCCTCCATCTCCCAGAGACAAGCTCTCCTGTTGGGTTTTTGATGGCAGGTAACCAATCGTGAATAACAGTTTTGAAACATGATTGGCTGATTAACACCTCTACTATTATCTGTAACTTATAAACAGTGTGTACATAATACTTGTACCAACACAGGCTGAGGGACCTTTATGCAATACACTGTTATTGGAATAATCCTGCCCTTCTGTAGGCTCATCTACTTTGGTGGATATGTTCATAAGCAACTTGATGTAATCAACAATAACAGAAGCTTCATTATGGATGAGGCATCATGGGTAATTATGTCTTCTGGTTCCAGTCCATGTCTAAGGGCATAGGAGAATTAACTATTATAAAACCAAATGTTTGGGTCAGTAATACTGTGTTCTCCAGGCAGATGATATCTACTGGGGATGGAACAATGAGGTCCATATGTTTGACCCAACACCAGCCAGATGGTGTGAACCACAAACAAGTGTAAGGGCATGTCTTTGGGTTGGTGGTTTTGAACAGTTGAGTCTTGTGGCGCTGCTGGAATATGGTGATTGTCTCAAGCCAGGAATACACAGCCAGAAGACTGGACACCTTTTGGAGCCTGGTTCCTCTAAAGGTTTCTTCCTAAATTTGAGGGTTTTTTTCTAGCGTTGTTTAGCGACAAGTGGATGCATGCTCTGTCTGGGTAGGCCTGGTGTTTGTAAAAGCCCTTTGTGACAACTTTCGATGTAAAAAGGGCTTTATAAAAGACATGTAATTGATTGATTGTCTACTGGGACGCACCCCTGACCCCAGAGCTGCCCATGCCAGTGCAACACTTGACAACAGAGGATATGTTTATGGGGGCAGAATACGAGTGAGAAATTATTCATCTCAATTTCAAAGTCTAATCAAACACAGGCTCAAGACTCAAGTTGTTTTTCTGTTGTACGATCAGGAATTTAGGACAAGTGACATTCATTGCCTAGATCTCCAATCATGGACATGGTCAGAAATGTTCGTATTCACCGTTTACACTTGAAAATGCACAATTTAAAATGGATATTGTTTTATTGTGTTAGTGCACCTGTTTGTTTTGTTAACTGTTCTTTCATAATGGTTTCCCCAGAGTGCCTGTCTCTCCTGTTTTAACTGTTCTTTCATTATGGTTTCTCCAGAGTGCCTGTCTCTCCTGTTTTAACTGTTCTTTCATAATGGTTTCCTCCAGAATGCCAGCCTCTCCTGTTCCATTGGGACGGTCATGGCATACACTCACTGCAATCTCTGACAACACTTTGTTTCTATTTGGAGGACTGAGTATAGAATGCAAACCAATGAGTAAGTTATTCACCCAGTAGTGAAAGGTGAAACTAATGGTGTACATCGAACAGAAAAACTAAAGAAAATAATGTCCATGCTGTCTGTATTTTGTGTATTGAAATGAATTCACAGTGCGAATTCACAGAGAATAAATTAATTCACAGTGCGAAATCACAGAGAATAAATTAATTCACAGTGGGAATTCACAGAGAATAAATTAATTCACCGTTTGATCTTACCAGAATTGAGGACATTCTTCGCTACTTAAAGTCATTTACATATTCAGGTTCAAAATTCTACCTACATTTATGTTCCATAAAATCATTGAATTATTTATAAAAAAGACATTGATGTTTCTCCAGGCGATGGCTGGGTTTTCGACGTTGAGACACACAAATGGAGAGAGATTGAGCATCCGTACATGAACAAACCAAGGTGATGTGTGTTTCAGTCATGATTAAATACATTGTTTGTTTTGCTAGTTAAACTGACCCTGTCATGTATATGCCAAACTGTGTCCCCTTAAAACCACTCACCTTCAAAGTTAGAATTTAATGGCTACCAAACAATAGTGATTATACATATAGACTATATTCAGAGGTTTCGAAAAATTACATTGTCAATCTCAGAAAATCTACACCTTTAATTACTAAAATATTCACTTGAATTCTCCATCATGTACCTCCTGGGTAAACGGTAAAAAAGTAACGTGTTGTCTGTAATTGAAGACTTTCACTCTGTATGTAGCTGATCTACTCCTGACCTGTGCCATTTCTTTTTTCTCTTCAGGTTGTGGCACACAGCCTGCCAGGGGAGAGACTCAGAAGTCCATGTGTTTGGGGGGAGTTGTGACTTCATACTCTTAGTGGACAAAGTTAGTTTCATGTAAAACAATTAACAAACAGCACACGTTCCTTTCTGAAATATTTCAGATTAGACTATTGTACTGTAATAAACCTTTTCGAACCTCCACGAGGTGAGGCTGTCACTGGATTTAATTCAAGGGTAATGTTAACACTGCCACCACCTTTGTTTAACCGGAGGGTCCGGTAGTCGGAAGCTGAGACACGAGGCGCACACCTAATTAACGAAACAATCTTTATTATTACAATTTCATTAACAAACAGACAGGACTCTTGTATGGCACCCCGGAAGGACCATAAACTTGGGCAGGGCTATCCCACTACGAATGGGAGGGATGGGAGTCGAACAGCCCAATACACACCCGGGACACCGCACAACACACAGTGAGGAAGTTTACACGGCAAGAAGTCACACGGCACCCAATAAAACCACTCATAAAAGCACACACCACACTATATGATAAATAAATAATTATCCTACTCATTGGCTAGCACTAATAAATACGACAGCCCTAATAAATAAGACAGCACACTTTACACACACGGCTGAACACTAAAACAATCGGAGGGGTCTCTAGACCTGTGCAAAATAGCTTTATGGTAATATATCGGTACATGCATGTTCCATACACCCCCCGCACATCCCCGAGCGGCAGCCTGCCCTTGCTAGTTCCCCCTGAACCATAGGTCGGAGAAGCCTGTCTATCACCTCGGAAACATAGAACAAGGACAACACACGACAAACAATAAAGGTACGGGTTTAAAAGTACTTAGCTCCCTGAGCTGTTGAGACCCCGTCCCGGGGTCTGAGTTTGTGCACCGTTGTATGGCACCGGCCGGGTTTGCTGATTCCGGTCCGGCGGTGGACACGCGTCCACGGTGCACAGTGGCTTAAAGAAGCCGGGGACCTGAAGCGACCGACGTGCCCCTAGAAACCCCTTAAGCTTCCCTGTCGCCCAGCCACCCTCTGACTGCTATCTTCGCCACCGGCTGCCCTACAAAGCAGCGAATGGCTCCCTCCCTTAATGTATTTACTGCGGCACTGCTCAAGAACTCACTCCGTCCCCCAACGATCTCCTTATCTCCAACCCCGACACCCTACTACCTTCTCCCCTTTTATTATCCCGATTCCTCCCAACCACCCAAAACCCCACCTGGTCTCAGGTGCATCTCGTTAATTTTGGCATAGAGATGAGTAGAGCCCTCATCCTACTGGGAGCGCCGTATTTCCACTACAGTACCATGAAAAAATTTAAACTGAAGTAGCTTTTTATTATGTTCGTGCAGGTGTTATTCAAATGTATACATTTACAGTGAGCTGTTGGGGCTATCTAAAAAATAATGTTTTAGGAGACAAAAAATGAACTGTTTATTTTACCCCATTCTTTAGGGACACTGTAACGATGTACTTGTATTGCAGATCAAGCCCTACTCACTCTTCAGGTAACTAATCAGTTACAATAATTTACAGAATCAGCAGAATAGTGTGATAACATGAGAACATTCAATGTTCCCAAAGAAAATTAGCAAGTTAAAGGGCTTTTTATGTATTTTATATAAGACTTTTAGCCTTAACATAATGTTTAGTAGATTGCTACATCTCCCAATATGCATGCAATGACCTCAACTTCTATTTTCTGTCTCTTAATAAATGTCTTGCAGGATATGTGAAGATTACATAGCCAAGAATGTGAAGAACTGCAAGATGCTTCAAAGACAGCTTCCTTATATGCCTGCAAAAATACTAGCTGCTGTACAGAAGAGAATTTCCTATTTCCAAACACCTAGCAAAAAATAAAATGTTAATATATAAATAAGAGGAAAATGTCATTGCTTGGACTGTAGTATACTCCCTTCAGAGTACCAAACCCTTGGGATTTATTCCATTCCTGGTTGGCTACCTAACCTGCCTGTATTTGACAAAGACAAATATTGCAATAATAGCAATGTTAAAAACTGGTACTCTGACTGGAAATATACAAAATATCTGTTATGTTAAATATTTTATGGGCGAATTTTTTCTGTGCATTTTTATGTTTTATTGATTATTTTATTATGAGTAGAGTAGTGTCTTCTGTTAGAAATAAAAGCAACGGCAGTTTGAAACACGTTCGTTAGTTTTTATAAGTCATTATTTTGACTACAGCATTATATGATATATATATATATATATATATGAATATATGATAAACGTATATTTTTATATTTTAATATGTTATATCCACTATATATTTAAAAGGACGTAATTCCTTTTTAAATAAACGTCAAGCACGAGCCAACGGAACGTCTGGTTGCCATGGTTTCGTCAACATACACGTGACACTGCTCGTGAACCAGGCAACACGTAGAAAC